CCAGAACAACTGCTGGTGGGCCAAATCAAATGGCTAGGCGGGCCAATTTTGGCCCGCGGGCCCCACTTTGGGCACCTCTGCTATAGAGAAACTCTTTGGAGATAAAGTTAAATATTTAAAAATGAAAAAAAAAAAAGCACCGATGTCCCTAACGAGCCGAAGGTTTGATACATGAACGTCCAAAACAAGTTTGCAGAAGTAGGTCGATTGCAAAAACTAAACCTGTCAAAAATTATTAGAAAAAGGAAACACTGATAAATCTGAGTATGCATTTTCTCTTTACCGTGATGACCGAGTTGAAATATACATGCAGCAGAACAGGGACAGTCTGAGCACACTGAACGACTCTTGGCCAATCAGCAGCCTCAGACAGCAGCTTGTGGAGTGTGCTCAGTCGGTCAATTGTGTCACCTAAAAGAGACGAAAAATGATAAAAAAWTAAAATGTGTAGATGCTTCTGCCTGTATCTGTGTCTCCTCGCAAAATATCTGAATAACCACTGGACAGATTGGAGTTAACATAATTTTGTAGATGGCAGTCACCGCTAATCAATCTTAGCCAACACAAAAACAACTCAAACTCAGTTTTAAAGATATTGAGCTGAAATTAATGTGGTAGTTGCTGAGAGTCATTCCCACCACTTACTCTGAGCATTAACAGCCGCACAAGATCCTCAACACTAGTTCACACTGCCTSTGATCTCACTGCGGTGCGAAGCTCTCAGAAGCATGTGCAGGAAATGCAAGATTGTGCAATAAATCCGGTGATAAATGTGGAAGTCAGACTGAATTAACTAATTCTGTGAAAGACCAACTGGAAACAACAGTAGGAACTGAATATCTGCTGTCTGTTCTTGAATCCATGTTTCAAAATAAAATCCACCCATATCTTTATTAATACAGCTAGGACTTTGACAGAATGTAGTCTGTCTTTGGTGAATTATTTTGAAAATACTAATGTGCCTGTTCCTTTTCCTGCCGGTGCAGTGTGATCTTTGCCGTGTCGTCTGGCAGAAAAATAGGATTGAATCTAATTTTGGCGGACCGCCGTGCCCACACCGCCTCCTTGCAGATGCAGTGTAAATACTCTCGTAGATTATAATGGGTGCGTTTTTACTGTGGAGGTGGTGGTGGAGCGAACGCAGTGTAAATTGGGTTAGAGAAAACCTAACATTAATGGCTGAGGTAACTCCATCTGTCMGTTCCACACACTCAGAGAGACATGAGTAAAATCATTATCATCTTCCAACATATCTGTTCATCAGATATGAAGGTTTCGTTTAGGAAAAGAGAGCATACACCGCCCGGCCCAAAGAACAGTCGCCACCTGGATTTAAGGTCTATGATGTGGGGTTGCTYCASTTGGTCYGGTGTAGGTTCAGCAGCAGTCTGTGCTCAAAGAATGAGGTCAGCTGACCTGAACATACTGAATGACCAGGTTATTCCATCAGTGGATTTGATGATCATTGAGTATCTCTGGGATGTGGAGAAGGTCAGACTCTACCATCATCAATGCAAGATCTTGGTGAAAAACTAWTGCAACACTGGATGGAAATAAATCTTGTGACGTTGCAGAAGCTTATTGAAACAATGTCACAGTGAATACATGCTTTACTCAAAGCTAATCGCGGTCCAACAACCTTTTTATTGGTGTCGACTTTTTTTTTTGGCCAGGCAGTGTAGCTCTGACTCTACCTGAGCCTGATTCCACTCGAAGCAGGAAGAGGAAAAGTCCTCTAAAAGACGGGTTTCTAAACGCATCCAGTGACAGAAGTCCTCGGCCGCCTGGCTCTGCAATGGGCAAACACGTGGACCTGCAGCACACGTACACAAGCAGTCTCACTGTGATGTTATGGAAATCTGTGTTATTTTTCCACTCTTCTGCCTTTTTCATTTTCTCTTTCTAAACCTGAGCTGCAGGACGAGTGTTGCAGAGAGGCAGGGGAGGTCCAGCAGAGTGTGGAGCAGCTCCACTGCAGTTCCTACAGTAACCAGAGAAGGCAGCAGGTCCAAAAAGTCATCCACCATCGCTGGACTGTCCCACGCCAGAAACTGCACACACACAGCCAACAAGAGCAGGAAAATCAGGCTCCCTGTGGACTTTTAAAGCAGGGTGTGTGTTTACCGTTAAATGTTTGCTTTTCACCTTCAGGATGTTTGGAAAGAAGCGTATGAACTCAGGAGCCCGGAGCTTCACGCTCTCCAGGTTGAGTCGAAGGAAACGCAGGAGCTCGTGTGCCAGGAAGGGGTCATTAAAGAGCTCAGCAGGAAACTGAACAAAGACCAACTTCCACACACTCTCACAGTCCACTGCTGCTATCTCACCTGAAAACATCAAGACACATGTTCATATTCAAATACTAAATAAAGGTTTATCTTTTACCACTGCTTAAAGCTACGAGTCTGTCTCTCTCTCTCTCTCTCTCTCTCTCTCTCTCTCTCTCTCT